CCCTCCGTCCCTCCCCCTCCTTCTCCTTCCCCTTCTTTCCACTTCCCTGTAGCCACACCTGAGGCTACTTCTGCTTCAGGGTTCAAGTCCAGAGGTGTGGCAGTTCTGGAATGGTGAGGCCAGGGCAGAGGTTGAAGGCAAAGAGCTACCTGGAGAGGAATAGAGTTTGTTTATTTATGCAAACATTTTAAAAGGTCAAATAATTTATTAAAGGAAAAGGCCCAAATGAGGGGAGAATGCATGTCCTGGTGTTACTGGAAAGGGGACCCGGCCCTGAGCGGCTCTGCCTAGGACCAGCAGTAGTGTGCAGGGGGGGAGGGGGTGTTTCACAGCATGAGTCCAGGTGACTCCGAGGGAACATTTATTAAAGCTGGAGACAGTAAGACAAGGAAGGGCTTAACATAGAAGCAGCAGGAGAGCCTAGGCTGGCTGCCTTAGCTCTCTGGGAAGTCAGAGAAAAGGGGGCCTTGGGGACAGGTTCAGGGGACTATCCTGGGAGGAGCTGCCACTGCCCATTGCTCCCTGGTCGCAAGCCTCATGGGGTTCTTTAGAATGTAGGAGATTAGAGTTTAGCATGCCTGTGGGGGGAGAAGATGGTGAAAGGGAATGGGGAGGGGGCTGCTCCTCAGAGGGAGAGCACAGGCTGGGTCCTTTGTGTTGAGGGTATTTATCTCACTCTGGCAGGTGGGAATCTAAGGGGAGGCCTCAGGGGAGGGTCTCAATAGAATGTCCGTCAGTTTTTCAGGTGTGTTCTTTCAGGGTCACGGTCTCCACTGCTTGGTCTGGACCCCAGGGCAGGGGGTCATTAGTCAATGCAGCTGGTCCTGAGGCAGCCATGAAGTCACTTGTCTGGTTTTGCTGCTATTTGGGGCCTGGAGCTGAAATACAACTGATGCCTAGATGTTATCTTTAAGGAAGAAAAGGTCTGGTGGTGGTGTTGTCTAAAGCCCAGGACCAGCAATATGCTAGTGGTGGAAATGTTACCCTGGGGGTGAGGTTCTTGTTTTCCCAGTTTTGCCCCTTGCGAGGCACCCAGGGCTTTCTGCCCTGGTGACCTGTACCTGGCCCATCGCCTTTGCTCTGCTCATGTCTAACTGCCTATAATGAAGCATGGGCCATCTTGTTCCAGTAACCTCTATGTTGTAAAAACTGCTGTTTAAAATTTTCCACAAAAAACAGATGGTCCCTTGTTCTGTTAATTAATTTTGCTATTTTGGCTTCTTTAAACATGCTTGCTCGAATCTCTGCTAACGTAAGGGTCTGGTTCCTCCCATGCCAGGTTTCTTCTGGTTTTATCTGAGTTGTGCTGTGCTCAAGGCCATAAGCTCCCTGCAAGATAGTTACTAAGCCCACTGTCCTCCCATTCCAGCACACAGGGCTTCTTTTATTATTTTTTTTAAAGCCTACAGAAGTCTCATTCCATATTTGGGATACAGAGACCTAGAAAATATAAAAAGGGAAAGCTTCCTCCATGTTTTTTGCTCAGACTCTGGAAACAATATTCCTCTGAGCCCGAAGGCATAATAAAGACTCATAATTAATTTGGCTTATTAAGGTGTCTTATGTTCAGCTCGCTGATTTACAATATAACAGTAACACTAGGTGTGCCTAGCTTTATGATTGTGTGTTGAGGGCCGAATGACAATTGTCTAGTTCTGGAAGGTGGGGGTAGGGATTCTAGAGAAATATGAATTAAGAAAGACATTGTTATGTCTCTTAATTAAATCAATATTACATAGAGAGTATGGAATAAGTTCCCTTTTGTGGGATACATTTTTTCTAGCCAAGTCCATTGGTATTTATTTATTTTTGTTATTTCTAACCAGAGGATTTTTTCCTTTGATTTTTAGAGAGAGTGGAAGGGAGGGAAAGAGTAGGGGTCGGGGAGAGAGAGGTAAGCATTGATGTGAGAAAAACATATCAATTGGTTGCCTCCTGCATATTCCCTGACCAGGGTTGGGGACAAATCTGCAACCCAGGTATGTGCCCTTGACCGGGAATCAAACCCCAAGACCCTCCAGTTTTTGGGCTGACACTCTACCCACTAAGCAAAGCTGGCCGGGGCTTGATTGTTACTTAATGTGTACAATCACTAACAGGGTAAACAGTGGTGATCATGTGAAGCACAGTGACCAATCAGAGCTATTTGGGAGTGCCGCTAGGTACCCCTGTGGGACCAGCTTGGCACCCTGGTAATATTTCAGGTTGGTTTGTAGTTCCCAAAGGACTCTACCCACTCATTTCCTATGCTCCTCCCACTATAGCCTGTAGGGTAGATACTGTGAGTCTTATGTCCCACAGAAAAGGGACATGGAGCTTGGAAAATTGGGTGACTTTCCTAAGGTCACTAAATGGGTAAAGAGCTGAGATTGAGGCCACCTTGCTTTTCTGCAACAGGATATTGTAATGGGAAAAGCACAGGATGCCAGCCCACTGATACTTACCTGGCTGTGAGGCCTGAACAAGCCACTTGCAACTTCTCTAGGCTTCAGTGTCCTCACTTTAAAATCGCATACTAATAGTACACACCTTTAAGGTTGTAGTTAGTATCTGCAAAGTGTTTAGAACTGTCCCTGGCACGTAATAAACAAAGGCCTTATGTGTATTGCCCTCACCCTGGTCTCCATTGGTTAAGTGAGGCATGCTCAAAGACAACCTCCAACCTTCTATAAAGAAATAAAAACTTTATTAAAAAGCTTGCTCTGGCCGTGACTCACATGCATCTACATCAACAATTCTCCCTATTAAAAGGAGTGATTCTCTTCCCTGTGGTAATTCTAACCAGCTACATTGCCTTAACTTATACACAATTATTTTTTTGTGTGTCCGCTGGAAATACCCTTCCACCAGTGTACCTCCTTGCTAGGCAATATATGGTTCTTGAAAACTTTCCATAGGCACATCAAACCATAATTTCCTAGTGATTTACCTTATCATTTCAGAAAGTGTTGGCCTGCAAGGAAAAGCAGTGGTTTCTAACACTGGAGTTTTAGGCTTAGTGATCTTAATTCTTGTCAAATGTTTTACCTCATTTATTTATTTTTATTTATTTATTTTAAAAAATATTTTTATTGATTTTAGAGAGGAAGGGAGAAGGAGAGAAAAATAGAGACATCAATGATGAGAATCATTGATTGGCTGCCTGCTGCATGCTCCTTACTGGATATCAAGCCCGAAACCTGGGCATGTGCCCTTGACCAGAATCGAACCTGGGATCCTTCCGTCCACAGGCCGAAGCTCTATTCACTGAGCCAAACCGGCTAGGGCTGTTTTACCTCATTTAGAAAGATTGCAGCACACTCTTTTGAAACATGAAGATTCTCCTGGCAGTTTGAGAAAGCCTCCTCTAATTTAAGTGTGCAATAAACATTAGTTATTATTATTACTACCCTGCTGGTTTAGATTTTAATCTTTCTCAAGGTGGGTCATAGTTGTATTTGTGACCTTTGTTACCCTATTTTAGTCAACTCAAGCCTCTCTTTGACCATGGAAAATCTCTAATATTGTATTGCCTTCTAGACCTTCAGCCACTCAGATTGCTATAATTATCGCCTCCCACAATTTTCCTGCAGAGGTAGAAGATTTCATCTGCATTTAAAAATAATTTATGCAGCTTAGCTAGAGTTCTTGCAAGGAAGGTAGGAAGGGCAGATCAGAGCTTACATTTATCTACAGTTTTGGCTACCATAACCATGTGGGGTTGACTCCTTTTATTTTGCAGAGCAATTCAAACTCTTTCAATGATAAAGTGGCAGAAGAAGGATGAGGAGAAAAGGGAGAGATTAAGTAGATAAAAGGAGAAGGAAAGAAAACTACAGTGGGAAGAGCTGTAAAAGGTTTAAGGGAAGTACATCATCACACAAGCAGAAACAAAATAGGAGACTGTTTATTTCATTGCTTAAATCAAAACATTCCACGAAGGACTGCCTTAAATAATTTCAGAAGCCTCACTGAAATATGTCTACGTGGGAGAGGAGCCCCACCTTGTG